TAAGACCGGGCAACACAGTTGATATTGATGGCAAGTTTTCGTTTCCTGACTTCGAAGATGCCGTTATCTCGGCTTCTGTTGCTGTTGAACTTGTGGAGTCTAAAGATACAAGAGCCCAACAAGATCGCCCAAAGAACAGGCCAGGGCAGAGACCCGAAATTCAAGAACTTACACAAGGAACCATCGTAGATGACGGTAAAGTTGTACCCGCTGAGAAAAGTGAAGCGAATACTGATGACAAGGTTTTCTTTAAACTGGACCACATACGTTTGAAAACTTCAGCAATATCTCAATTTATTGGTGAAGAAAACGTATGCATCGAGGTGGTCGTTGGTGAAGAACAAGTCTCTGGCGTCTTGGAATTTTGCTCGTATACCAAACAGCAAGCATTTGCTACCTGTGTGGCCGTTGGGGTGATTCTTGATAGTGTTTCTTGTCAGACTGCGCTCGACACATCTATTCGAATCCGATGTTTTTCATCAGTTTCCAACCACTTGGTTGCATCCTCGTCAGAAGCTACAAAAGTAATTCAGGACGAGGAAGGCTATCCAAGATCCATTGTTTTCCCAATGTTGAACGAATCCAAGCAGTTCGTTGGGCAATGCACATTGACCTGTACACGTGGGCCTGAGGCTCACCAACAGCCTGGCCGTGAATTACGAGGTGATGCCAGAAAAGAAAAGCGCCAATACCGATTATGTTTAAAACTGAAATCTGTCCGAGATATTGAGATCCCTGGAGAATATTTGGTTCGCTACCATAATCCATTTCTCGGTTCAGCCTTAGGTAAGTGTTAACTGTGGCTGCTGGTCGATATGAGAGACGATTGACTTGTTTTGTGTAGTCACCAGTGACTGGTTCACTGTAAAGGACAAGGGTGAGCTGGTGTCCTTGAATTTCTACTGCATGTTCGACTTATCGAAGAACCCACTTCAGCTCAAACAAGAAACGCAAGAGTCTGTCAGAATTGACCTGATCGCTAGCGATGAAGAAACGTAAGTTATTCGAGCTTAAAACTAAGCAGAATTACACACTAACTTGCTTCACTTTCGATGTGTACATGTAGAGTCGGAAGTGCTGTCTTCAGTTTGAGCTACTTGTATTTCTCTGAAGAACATTTTTGCTGCTCTGAAGATAATTGTGACGAGATTTTCATGACTCAGACGGAAACGGAGGCTCATTGGCTCGAGGTTCATACCGATTCAAAACTACCCGACACTCAAGCGGGACCAGAGGCATACTCGCATTCGTACCGCAGTTGCTCGATCAACATTCCAATTGTCAGTGATGATGTCAGTAATGGCTCAACTGTGCAACAACCACGACGCGTGGGATCCATCCGTGTTTCCGCAGTTTTGGAGGATATCGGAATGCTTACTGAGAAGTGTGCAGCGGCACAGAGAGCAGTGTAAGTGACGCAGGCACTATTGTGCTTTGCGAAAAGAACTAATAATCAAGTCTTCTCGTTTGTTTGGTAGGCTCACTCTTCCCCCACCTCCGGTCCAAGAAAGAGTGAATATTAGTGAAGAAACGTCACATGTATCTCGACCAGCGGAGGATGAATCTATAAGGACGATGCGCGAGCGATCAACTAGTACGTCGGTCTTACGAGAAGCAGAAGTAACAAGCAGCTCAGCGAAAGAGCCTTCGATGGTTGAGGTGTGTGTTGACAATTCCCACTTAACTATCGAAGAGGAGCGAGTGAACAAACTACGTGAGCGAGAAAAGGAAGTAGCAACACTCAAGGAGACCTTGGAACGAGAGAGGAGCGCGTGGAAGCAAGAGCAGCATCTCCATCAATTGCAATGGAAACGGCGCTTTGCAGAAATGGAAAAGGTGAGAATGGACGAACTTGAAGAGGAATGGGCACGTCGTGAAGAAGAGCGGAGCAATTTGCTAAAGGCAGCGCAGGAAGAATACCAGCGACTAGAGCAAACGCTTCGGAAATCGTTGGCAGATTTGGAGACGAGAGAGCGTCGATTGGCTGTGACCGAGGCCGCTTTGCAGCGAGAGCAGGAAGCAAAACGAGATGAATATGATTCTCTTCAGCGGCGTTTGAAGAGCGAACAAAGCCATACACTGTCATTGGCAAAGAAACAGACTGAAGCGTATGAACGACGTATATCACTGCTAGAGTCGCAGCTTGGTGATACCGAGAGCCGCGCCAAGCAAGTCGAAGCTGATTTTACCGAGTACCGCCAACAACAGCGAAAACTTCCCGAGTCCAAACTTCGAGAAGAGATCGCAGCACTTAAGGGTAATGTGTCTGAGCTAGAAAAGCAGAAAATGGCAAAAGAACGGGAGTGCGAGATCGCTGAGGCGAATGTCGAGAAGATGAAATCCCAACTGGATCAAATGGCTGGTTTGCTAACCCGAGAGAAGAAGAAGCATGAAGCACGAGTAGTGGATGAGTTGGAGAAACTTCGCGTCAAGTATATCGCTCGGGAGGAAAGATACGTACTCGATGGAGATCGAGACGAACTTCGAGCGATTAAGAAGCAGCTGGACGACTTGAAGGGGTTTAAGATGAGAGGCAACATCGAAAAAAGACGCTCCCATAGACAGCGTTCACATGAACCGACTTCATCACACCATCATCGCAAGTGCTGGCATACACAGAGCCGTCAGATAGACGCTCGATCACCAAGTGAACATTACCATCCAGGATCGCGTTTTCACTCTGACCACGCCTATGGAAATGCAAGCGACTGGGAGGCATCCTCTTACGTAGAAACTAGACGTGCAGACACGACCCCTCGGTTAAATCAACGTGAGTCACGGAGCGAACGAGAGTCTTCAAACTCTCATATAGCTAATCACCAGGGCTCATTAACGACGGATAACGTCGACACAGACCAAGATCAAGGTGAATTAGATGATTCAGAAGATACCCACGCCGAACCACCTGGCACTGAGCTTGGTCGGTTAATTCGCGAGCGGAAATTGCTGCTGGCTAGTGGAGCATATGACGCAAAAAGTTACCTGGTACGCGAGCTCGACCGCCTCATCAGCGCCACAAAAGCAAATGTTGAGCGCCAAAGTCAGTAGCGTCGATAGAATCTGAATAATTGACACTGCTATCGCCTTGTTCAATATTGGTTTGTATTCCAGATTTCAGTGCACAACTCAGCTCGTCTGGTTTTTGAACTTTTCAAAGGCTTGATTCAGCACAGTGAAAAGCTCTTTAGCTTCCAGTTGCTCGGGAACCGTAGCTCCTCGCAATTTGTCAGGGTGAACGACCCGAATGATGTTTCTGTAAGAACACAAAACACAATACTGTGAGCGACAACAATCACAGCGATCAACCTAATACAACAACAACATTAGACTCACCGATAGGCCTTGCGCACGGTATCGTCGTCAGGAGATTGCACTACCACCAGTTGGCACTTCTTAAGCGCATCGTTCGATGAGATTTGGTCCAACGTAAGGATCATATGCAAAAGTTCCTTGCCAAATGCCCACATTTCCACACGCCGATGGATATCTCCCCGAACAGCATCAGCTTCATCAGCTTCAAGCTTCTTCTTCATCTGCAATTCGTGACGTTCACGCAAACGTGCTTGTTGGCGAAGATATAGCTCTGTGTCAGCCAGGGTAGGCTCGGGAGGTAGCGGTGGCGACTCAGTCGACGTCATTCGCTCTTCCTCCGCCTCACTCTCTGATGTCTTGCTCTCGCTCTTTCGCCGAGGGTTACGACGAGGTTGGCCATCCATATCCACGCTGTCATCTCCGTGAGGTCGTGGCAAGTCATTTGGATGAGGCGGAGAAGATACTTGGGGTTCTTTCTGATCCTTTTGCTGCTGCTTACTATTCATCTGCTGCCGCATCTGCGAAACACGAACAGTTTTCATGCTCGCCGGCCGTCGCCTTCCATTACGTCTTGCTTGCTGCTGCTTGCGCTTTCGTTCGCGTTCCTCTTGAGCCATCTTTTCCCATTCCTTTTCGTATTCCTCCTTCTTTTTCGTCTCTTCGTGCTCCTTTTCTTGTTTGCGCTTCAGCTTCTCGTTTCGCTTTTTTGCTCGCGCCTCCATGTAGTCATTCATGCGACTTTTGCTTGCGCTATGGGAATTGTCACCTCCACTTAAGCTTCGCTTCTTTTCTCGACTTTTGGAAGACGTAGGCGAGCGAGATGAGCGCTTGTCGCGACGATCTTGACCTGATATACTGCTCTTTCGAACCTTTCTGTGAACCTCGGTCTTGATTTTGACAGTATTATCGTCTTCATCCGTGGACGACGAATCGGATGAAGAAGAGGATTCCGACAAACTGTCAATCTTCTTAGCATCGACATAAAGCGGCTGGCTTTTTTCCACATCAGGCTCATCAGCGTCGTCATCTGAAGAAGACGAGAAAGATGAAGAAGATGATGAAACTCTACTGAAAGACTGCGATACTCCAGACGTTTCGGTCTGCCCTCGTGTTGCCAAAGGATCTGCAAATTGTGTTGGTAACTGCGTCGGTTTGTCGGATGCCTCGTGTGATTCTTGCCTGTCATCGTCATCGTCGTCCGATTCACTCAAGCTACTTGAATCTGCGTCAGCTCCAGTATCGGGAGGAATCAGTTGCGACGGTATATCCACATGGACCGGAGGATTAAACGGTGGAGGCGCTTCGTGCACAGAAATCGGAGGAGGTGGCGGTGGCGGCGGCATGTCTTCGTCCGAAGAATCGCTCGACGATGACTCACTACCAAAGATGCTATCGCTGGACTCATCTTCGTGGTGGGATGGAGATTTCGCCACGTACATTCGAGGACGCTCCTTCAACACCTTGCTGTGAGCGAATCCTTGGCGAGGAGGAAGCGGTGACGAAAAACCAGCTTCAGCTGTCGTTGCTGCATCGGCACCATCGTCGTCACCTTTCGCAGTACTCACTCCGTTCCGTGGAGACGAACCCCGTTTGAATCTAGAGGAAAGTTTCTCAAAGAAAGTCACAGAAGTACCAACTGACTTGCCGTTGGCTGCAGTGGTCTTGTCCTCCACTGGCTTTTCCGAAGGATCCATACTGACTTTGATCGTTTGAGCCGACGCAGCACGGCGTTTGCCTTCCCTTGGTTTAGGAGCATCGTCTGCGAAACTCGAAGCAGAAAAGCCTCGCGATCGTCCCTGACTATGACCGGGACTTGAGGCAGCACTTGTCGGAGAACTAACTCCTTGTAATGGCGGTGCTTCTACAGCAATTGGACTGGAAGGCGAAGACCCTTTACCAGCTGTGAAGTCGAAACTCGCGAGCTCTGCTTCAGCAACCACTGTCGCAATGCTGTCCCTAGGGTTACTAGCATCATCTCTAGACTCTGACAATATTGCGTCGGGAAAAAATCCCACGGACGCCGCTGTAGCCGCTGCTGTCTTAGCCCCCACACTGTCTTGAAGAGCTGTCAGCTGCTTCCGTAGGTACTTTTTCTCCTGCTGTTCTTTCTCCAGTTGAAAGTTGAGTCCTCGACTGATCGCCTCTGCATCCTCGCATCGTTTCATCAAGTTCTGATACTCATCACTTGCCATTACTTGAGCCGCAGTGGGTTTTTGGTGTGCTGTAGCCGTCAACTGATGCTCCACTTTGAGCAGCTTCTCTACTAGCGCCGCATTCTCAGCTTGTTGTTCCCGAAGTCGCGCCTCCGTTGCTTGAAAAAGCCTGTCGTGTTTTTTATTCTGTGTTTCAATTTCTCGATGCAGCTCCTGCTCCTTTAACTCACGCGCTCGTCGGTTAATCTCCTCCGTCGACGCAGCATCAGCACGCAACTGATCGCACTGTGCTGTTATCGCTGCCAATCTCGTCTGGAGCTCGGTCATTTGCAGTTCGTACTGCTCCGAATGCCGCGCCATTTTCTCGCTCGCCTTCATCAGCTGCTTGTTACGCTTCTCAATGATGCGTTGACACTCCTTGGTGCGAATGGTACATTCCTCCTTCACCTTATTAGCTTCATTGAGCCTGGTCTCCAGCTCCTCAACGCGTTGCTGCGCTGTCTCCAGTTGCGCTTTAAGCGCCTTCATCTCCGACTGTTTCTGGCTCTGACGGAGCTTCACGCGCTCATGGAACGTCTCGAGTGAGTCCCCAGCATCGTCATCGTTCTCAAACAGCCCCTTCCTCTCCGTAGAATGCCCCCCATTGTCTCCAGAATTGGCAGATGAGCTTAGTGACGTCGTGGACGTGGAGAACATGGTGCGACGTCGGAAATCTCCCCCAGACAGGGAATTCGACTGCGTATTGGCCGAGCGGCTACGTGCCATGGCGCCTAACATAGGCGGAACCGTGCCCACTCTATGGTTACTATCATTCTCTCCGTCCGAGGCGTCAGAATCCCCAGAAGACGACGAAGAAGACGAGAAAAGGCCGCCGTTGCGTCCACGACTGCTGTTGCCCGTCGGAGCTCGTGCACTTGGAAACAAGGGACCGTCTACCACGAAAAGATACATTGTGAGCTGGAGGAGATAGAGGGGAGCACGGTGGGATGCCTACGGAGACGTACCTTTCGCCCCAGGGCTGACCGTAGCGCGCCGCATGACGTCAGCACCGAGCTTGAGCTTTGCGGATTCTGAGAACTGGCGTAACCACAGGGTACTCTAGTTACACTTTGCGTAACCCAAGGTTACACATGTAGTCTTAGTGAAGTGAAGAGACTTGACCCTGGTGTCGCCAAAAGCGCAACGGTTGGATCAATTACTGGATAACTAGATACCCGCACCGATGGTGACGGCGAGCGCGGGTGGCAGCCCGAATGACGATGTGGAGAAGCTTAAGCGGAAGCTGCGGAAGCGCGTGAACCAGGCGATGGATGCCGTGTGCGGCGAATGGGCGCGCGCTCGGCAGCAGAAGCCTAAATCACTGCAGCAGTCGGATGTGAGCATGGATCGATCCTACTGTAGCTGCCGACAACTCGTGACCTATATCTCGGAGAACATGACTACATCGCCGGGCTTCATAGAGCAGATGGATCGGATCATCCTCGCCTGCTTCAGTGGCGCTTCGAAGCGTGTGCTCAGCTCTGTGGCGACGCAGGAGGTCTGGTTCCGAGCTTCAGAGTCGGAGGAAGAAGAGGAGGTGGCGGAATCGAGAGAGGGGATGTCAGAACGCATTAGTCGTAGGGACCCCAAAGGACACGTAAAGCCTAGTGAGAGGGCAGCAGCTAGTGACAAGGTTGTCATCAAGCAGGAAAGAGTTGAAGGGGTGAGTGCGACTCCTCGTGCTACGGGTTTTGGTAGAACGGCAGCAGACGGTGCGGGCCTTGAAAGGCGCGAGGTAGTAGGCTCATTGCTCGCAAAGCGCCCGAGGAGCAGAACCAGCAAGAAGAAGCTGTCCACCAAGAAGCCGTTGCAGGTAAAAGTGGCACCACGGCATCGACCGGAGGGGAGCTCTGCAGAGGAGAGTGCTGAGGCTGACACGGAGACTGATGAGGAGCGGGAGGAACGTAAGAGACCCAAAAAACGTATGGTGCAGCAACAGTGTGAAGATGTCATGAGCCCTGCAATGCCTGTCGAGGATGAACAAGGACTTCTTACGTTCAAAGAGGCTATTGGGGAGCTGTGCTACCAAGAGCGGCGTACGCCTGAACAAACCGCGTTTTTCAAAGAGCGGCTGCGCAAGTCAATTCAATTTGTAGATGCGTTATTGTGTCACCCGCCCCCAGGTAAAATGTGTACACGAACTTGCAGTAAAATTCGTGGATCAATGTGTAAGAGCACCGCACCATGTCACGACAAGATGTGCCGTATTTGGCACGATGTTGAGGCCCACACAGATCGCTGCAAGAACACCAAATGCGAGTTTAAACTTCGAATACTTGTGCGCGAAACCATGCACAAGCTCCACAGCAAGCAGTTGGAAATCAAAAATGCAAGCCAGAAACTGCGGAAAAAGAACGCATCATTGGACGACTTGAATGCCACCGAGCTCAGTGAGCCCGGAACATACACTGAATCGATCGTAACACTCGAGAGCGAGATCGAGAAATTGGAGCAAGACCTAATTACTGAAGAAGTCGAAATGGCCGAAATCAATGGTACCCTTGAAAGGTATTGGGCGACGCTGAATGAGATCGGGATCGAGTCGAGACAAGATGAAATTGACAACTTCCCCGAGTTTGTTACGCATTACGCAAACAAGAAGAAGCGCAAATAGACTGGATTCATCAACTTATAGGGCACCTGCCAGAGAGAGAGAGAGAGAGATTTGCGTTTTATTTGCTACATTTCAAATTTGCTTGCTGCTAAATAATGACAAAATTGAGATTGAATTGGTCCCTCACTTTTTAGACTACTGTTTTGTTGGCCAAGACGTTGTGTGACTGGATCGAGAATTTGGCCATAAACCAACGAAATTGAGATCCTGGATGTAGAAGAGTTTTTTTTTTTTTTTTTTTGAGATTTTCGCTGTACACTGCACATAGTCCACTGGCCGATTCACGAATCTTGGCCAGCTGGGAGAACGCCATCATTGTACACACCGAGCGCGCATATGCCAGTCTTGCCGGTGCTGAGATGGCAATTAGGTTCTGTCCGCGGGTTATAACCAAAGTCAGGGATTCATTTTTGTCTTCCTAGGTTGCAGCGTATCTGATTTGTAACCTACAAGTAGTAAGTGCATGTGAGAGCAAGCCTAACGAGCTTTACAGCTGACATGTTTGCTCTACACTGTCTGGAGTATTGTATTATATGGAATCTTCAAACGCTCGACGGTCAGAGCAATTGTAGCCCAAGAGGATGGTCCGAAAGAATCTGCCTTTACGACTGGTGATACCTTCCACTGAGACCAGACATCCTACCGGCGCTCATTTAGACTTGCGGGGAGGGCATCAAGGTATTACTCAGGTTTACAAGCGCCTCACTACTGAATACTGCTGGTCGATGACGTTCAGAAATTTATCGAATACTGTATCCACCAAACGCACATTGAAGAAGCAGCAAGGCTGAAGTTTTCCACACGGTCCCAGGAAGCGGAATTACGAAACCTACAGAAACCGTGTGAAAAGGACAATTTGTGGAAATATTTCCTGGTGAATGACTCCGTACAACAAGGTTGTCCTTTTGTCTGAAGAATGGTCTTCACACAAGCCAATCGTTTCTGCCTCAGCGGAAGATGTTTCCAGAGCCTACATGGAATGTGAGTTCCAACGCTTTGGTGAGCCGTAGAACTACAGCAGGATAGTAATCCTCGTTGTATGAGCAAGGTGTTCAAATAATCCAATCGAATGATTGGACAACGCCAATGAGCAACTCTGTCGTATAGACCACAAGCTAATGAGCAACAGCAGCGGTCTGTCACGAATGTTACTTCAGCCATCAGAGCTTACATATCCGGTCCCGAACCGCTTCATTAGATTAGATCGTCCAACCAATACCAAGCTCTAATGAATTACTGTTCGCGTTGAATACTTCTTACGAATATGTCTGGTAGGGAACCCGCTTCTTCCGAAATCATGGCTGGTAAAAAAAATAATTCTAACTCCGTACGAGCTGCAGCGATGTCTACGGCTGAGTCGAGATGTTGCTACGATGAGGAGATACGAGAATGAGCAAATGGAAGCTTAGCTTTGGTTGGAGTGGAAAACGGAACGAGCACCGAAACACAATGATATTCGCAATCATGAATCGGAACCGATATAGGTGCGATTCAGCGTGGATTTTCATGGAGTGTCTGAAGGCTGGATATGCTAAGTAAGTTGCTTCTTTATGGCTCGAGACATTTTGGGTAAAGGAACGCGTGCACGACTACAGTGTGAATTAAATTGCGACGAATTCAACCTGTCTCGACCGGTAGAGCGTGCATCACATCCTGATGAAGATTGCGTTGATTTCGATGAAGTGCACTCCTTAGTTGAAGCTGCTGTCACAATTACGTGGTGAGTTGGCATCCTGTGTGGTCTCTGATTGTGACGAATGATGCAAAGCTGCCTAGTCTACGAGAGCTTAACCTGAATGACTTGAAATTGAGAATAAGTCGCATTTTGAATCAGCAAGTACATAACTCGATTTTTTCTTTACGTGACGATGCAAACTCGAAGGCTAGATGCTGGACGCAGTTTTGCCACGTGTATGAAAAGAAGAAAGGTGTTGTTTTCATGGCTTGTAACAACAGCTTCGTTTCCTGTAACACATGTGTAAAGGTGTATGCATTCATTCCAGTAAATGGAACCAAAACATTAAACGAGCACATGAACAAATGTACAAGTGCTCCAGCGAACACTGGGAGCTTAGTGCAGTTTCTGGACAAAGCCGAGGTGTCTACCGCTGATAAA